GTAGTTATTTTTAGATTTTCCATGACAGAATATGACATATATTCCATGACATATTCCATGACATATAGGAAAAAGGAAGAAACAAAGAAACACATTAAAATGGAATAAAAAAATGTTAAACTATTATTTAACGAAAAGACATTACACGGTGAATTATATTTAATCAAATAAAAATAAATACACAGCTAAAATAATAAAGATGATGGAAGAGCGAAGAAAATTAAAAGGTAGAAAAAAAAAACAACGCAATACAGGCATAGTTGTAAACATTGAAGGTCCAATTTTGACTACTATTAAAGATAAATTACAAAGATGGAAAGAATATATGCAAGAATTATTCGAAGATGCAGTATGAAGTCCGACTGAAATAAACAATCCCTACGGCCCAGAAATAACAAACGAAGAAGTATCTATGGCCATTAAGGGGATTAAAGATAGGAAATCACCAGTACCTGATGAGGTGCATGATAAAGTTTTAAAGCTATGAGAGGAACATCAAATCACAGCTCTTACGAAGCTATTCAGCAACATCTACGAGACTGGTTACTTACCAAAAGACTGGCTACTATTAATATTCATTCCACATCCTAAAAAAGCCAACGCTAGAAAATCTGAAGAACATAGATTAATTAGTTTGATGAGCCACGTACTTAAAGTACTCCTTACTATCATTCAATCGCGCATATACACCAAATTAGAAGAACACCTGAGTGAAGTTCAATTTGGATTTAGAGCAGGACTCGGAACGAGGGAAGCACTTTTTAGTTTGCAAGTTTAATACAGACAGCCAGGTTGTGTGAACTGCGATGTGTATGCATGTTTCATTGATTTCGAGAAGGCATTTGATAAAGTCCCACATGGGAAACTAATGGGTATCCTAAAAACATCAGGACTCGATGCGATGGTAAGGATATAAGACGAATCTCAAACTTATATCTTCAACAAAAAGCAACAGTACGATTAGAAAATGAATTGTCCGAGATCTTCACCGTCGAAAAAGGAATTGCAGGAAAGACAGGGTTACATATTGTCATCGGCATTATTTAACATATACTCTGAAACCATCTTTAGACGAGGCCTTGGACGAATCAGAAGATGGGATTGCTGTAAATGGCCAACTTATAAACAACATTAGATATGCAGACGATACATTGTTGCTGGCAGATAGTGCGCAGGGGCTCCAAAGGTTAATGAATAACGTTGTAGAATCATGTAACAAATACGGCCTAAACTAAATTACAAGAAGACAAAAACAATGATTATTAGTAAGAACACGTTCATAAACGCTCAAATTGCAATTAACGATACACTGTTAGAAAGAGTGGTTAAGCTGCAATATTAAGGATACTTGGAATCATTGCTACGAAATAAAGACTCGTATTGAAAAAGTCAGAAGCTCTTTTAACGGCCTTAGGAAGATTGTCCGCAATTTATCTATAAGTATCAGTATACGCATAAGAATAAGACAAGATTTTAAACAGTATAGGAAAAAAATAATTAACCCTGAATCCTGGTTACATCTATTAACTAATTAACAAAATTGTTAATCTTGTAACTGGATCAAGTCAGTGGTATTTCTCGTAATGCAGTAACGAACATTGGGCAGTGAAAAGTTCTTTGATTAACAGCCGAATTGACCACAGATATACGGAACTAATAACCAATATATATATATATATATATATAAAAAAGTGAGTTGAGGTTAATTGGGTATACAGCTGAATAAAAGCCAAGTGCACTCTGTTCAACAGTTCATTATATTTCGCCAATTTTCATTGGCATCATCAGATGAAAGCTACAATTATTTAAAACATGGTAAAAATAAATAAAAATAAAAATAATAAAATACATTCAATAGTCTTACTTGATTGAGGTTGTGGCAATATGATTTATGTTATCATCAGAAAGGTTTGTGGTATGATGTGGATTGTAGTTTTTTTGGATATATAACATGTAGTTGTAAAAATGACAATTAAAATATTAAATGACAATATATAAATTAAAAAACAAAATAAACATAAAAACGTTTAGTTCGCAGATAGTCATTAAGGTTTAGTACTAGAAATACCAAATATCGAATGTTATTGATTGATGTGTAGCAGGAGATAATTAGTTCTATAGTGTTAATATAGTAGTTGTTTATTGATTGGGATTTACTGTAAAAGTGTGTTTTAGATAAAAAATTTAAAAAATTTTTTTTTTTTTTTTTTTTGAAAATTTTGGAATTACATGTTGTGTTACAATAATTATTTAATAGTTATGTTTGTTTTTTCGATATGTAATAGATAAGCATAAATCTCACTCAAATGCTCAACATCTGATTTCTTATTTATTAAGTTATCCATTTGGGTGATAAATGCCATCTCGAGGAAGAGTCTTTTATTGAGATTATTCTCCATTGCAAGAATCTTTGTTTCGTTGTAGTTCATTACATGGTGTTCATTATGTAATTATTAATATTCATTGCAATGGAGAATAATCTCAATAAAAGACTCTTCCTCGAGATGGCATTTATCACCCAAATGGATAACTTAATAAATAAGAAATCAGATGTTGAGCATTTGAGTGAGATTTATGCTTATCTATTACATATCGAAAAAACAAACATAACTATTAAATAATTATTGTAACACAACATGTAATTCCAAAATTTTCAAAAAAAAAAAAAAAAAAAAAAAATTTTTTAAATTTTTTATCTAAAACACACTTTTACAGTAAATCCCAATCAATAAACAACTACTATATTAACACTATAGAACTAATTATCTCCTGCTACACATCAATCAATAACATTCGATATTTGGTATTTCTAGTACTAAACCTTAATGACTATCTGCGAACTAAACGTTTTTATGTTTATTTTGTTTTTTAATTTATATATTGTCATTTAATATTTTAATTGTCATTTTTACAACTACATGTTATATATCCAAAAAAACTACAATCCACATCATACCACAAACCTTTCTGATGATAACATAAATCATATTGCCACAACCTCAATCAAGTAAGACTATTGAATGTATTTTATTATTTTTATTTTTATTTATTTTTACCATGTTTTAAATAATTGTAGCTTTCATCTGATGATGCCAATGAAAATTGGCGAAATATAATGAACTGTTGAACAGAGTGCACTTGGCTTTTATTCAGCTGTATACCCAATTAACCTCAACTCACTTTTCATCTACCAGATCAGCTGTTATTTTAGAGGATATATATATATATATATATATATATATATATATATATATATATATATATATATATATATATATATATATATATATATAAGGAAGCCAAAACAACAATTAAAGTATATGAAGGAACAAAATCATTACAAATAAGTAGAGGCGTGAGACAGGGTGATACAATATCACCGAAACTTTTCAATCAGGCTCTTGAAGATACTTTTAAAAGATTAGAATGGGAAAAAAAAGGTATAAAAATTTGTGGACAACGCTTGAACCATCTAAGGTACGCTGATGACATCGTATTGATAACCGATAAAAAAGAAGAATTATTTGAAATGATGAAAGAACTGGACGTAGAAGCTGGAAAGATAGGCCTTAATATGAATTACAGCAAGACCAAAACTATAACAAATACAGATGAAGACATCACAATGAGAATCGGACAAGATGAAATAGAACAAGTTAAGGATTATATATATCTTGGTCAAACTATAAAACTTAACAAAGAGAACCAAACAGCAGAGATCAAGAGACGAGTTAGACTGGCATGGGCGGCATTTGGCAAACTAAGCTTCATTTTTCACATCGAGCAAAAAGATAAAAGAGGGAATCTAATCGTTATGAAAAGGAGACCAAAAAAGTGGCCTCTGATGGCGGACATATCCGGAAATGCAAAGGCGCTAAATTTAAATTTTCCAACACTTATTAACAATAGCTATAAAATATTTTTCAGACGAGAAAGTTTTAATTAAATATTAACTATAATAGTCTAAAAAGTGACACAATTGGTAAAAGATTTCAATATAAATAAAATTTCATGTGACAGTTGGGACAAACAATAACATAACCTAACTAAATTTGACTTCTTAAACAAGGAAAGAGACTGTCTATCCTTGTCTAAAGTGGCCTCTCAAGATGGCACTTCCTGTCTATCAATATGTTTACCCCCACTACCTTTACATTCCCTCTTTTGTCTTATTGCTCGATGATTTTTCAAGAGAAACGAGTGGATAAGAGAGAAAACAAAAGTGAGGGATGTTAGACAAGAAGTTGCAAAATTGAAATGGAGATTTGCCGGACACAATATAAGACAAAAAGAAGACCGATAGAACAAAATTCTTATAAGTTGGAGACCGTGGGAATATAAACGAAGTAGAGGAAGGCCCCAAATGAGATGGGCAGATGATATCAAGAAGCATATGGGCTCTAGATGAATGACTGTAGCGACAGACAGAGAAGAATGGAAAATGATTGGGGAGGCCTTTGTCCAAAGATGGACCGAAGAAGGCTAATTAGATAGATAGATAGATGCAGTAACGATATCCGTAAATATATTAATACTTAAAAAAGTGTTTCAAAGTAATGATTTACATTAAATAACAAGAATATAAAAAGTAGGACGAGGGAAAAGTAAAAATGGACAAAAAACTAACAAATTATGGTTCGAGAGATATTTTACACAATAATTGTGAATAAGGAAACATCACATGTGGGAGTCAACAGAGGAGGTGGAAATAAGACTATTGCATCAACCAAATGGAGAAAAGAGATCCATATAAATAGGAGATAAACTAAATGTCTTCATTTACTAAATGAAGCAACAGTTTAAGATTAAAAATAACAGGCTTTGTAGACTAGAGTAAAATACAAAAGGCGAATGAAATCTATAATAATTATGAAATGTTCCTTTGGTTTTAGTGTTAACTCAGTATCTTTCGATATGAAATTAGTTATTCACTGAATTTTGTTGTAAAAAGATTTTTCTAACCGAAAAAATAAACACATTACTAACCATTTGACTTATAGGCTCTACTTATGGCACCGGGATAGCAGCTGTTAAATTCACTGCTTTGGGCAGACCACAATTGTTGGTAAGTAACATATTTTACCTAACCATTAATAACGCTATAACTTGCTTACACAAAGAATATGTTGTAACAAATATGTCAGATATCTGTCAGGAGTATTTGTAAAATTTTTTTAATTAAATCTACTGTGACTAATATTTCCCCACATCTCTAACAAAATTTAGCTTTAAACTTTTACAGCCAGTCGTAATATTTGATGACATTTTTGTATTTTATCTTAAATATATCTTTTGTGCTTAACTTTTTTTTGTTTACAATTAGTTGTCTGACTTTGGTTTGTCCACCTTATTTCTTCTTTTTGCAAATGGATTTCCATTCTCTAACGCTTTCTATAACCTTTCTATTATCTCTATTATCCTCTTATTATCTTATTCTCCCATCTCGTTTTGGGTCTTCCCCCTGGTCTGCCTGTTACTGGTGTCCAATTGGTGGGGATTTTCTTAATAACTGATTTTCTGGATCTTTCCTTTGTAGGTGTTCCATCTATTTGAGTCATTGTATCTTGATAATTCTGACGATGTCTTCTCCTTTCAAAAGTTATTTGGTGGTTCATCAATTTTCCAAGTTAACCATTACCTAAGTTTAGTGGGCCTGCTACCTGATAAGAGAAAAAAGAAAGACTGGATGACTGCAGAAATCCTTGACATGATGGAAGAGACACGGATATATAAAACTAAAGATACTGCCAAATACCGTGAAACCCATAGACGAATAAGAGCTGAGATAAGAAAAACTAAAGAGAAATGGTTCTCGGAGAAATGCGAAGAAATCGAACAGTGCGGAAAGGTATACGACTATCATAACATGCATAAGAAGATAAAGGAACTCACAACAAAGAAAAGCTACAATATTTTATCGAAAGGGCTGTGCGATGATAATGGAAATCTACAACTAGACACCGACAAAATAGTTAGAATCTAGGAAACTTATGTGGAACAACTGTTTAATGATGACCGTCCTAGTGGGTATACACTGAGCAATAATGATACTGGCCCTTCTATTCTAAAATCAGAAGTGGAGAATGCTAGAAAGGGTCTTAAAAATAACAAAAGACCAGGCAACGATAACGTATACGGGGAAGTATTGAAAATGATGTGCGAAACAAACTGTCAATTTCTAGACTCACTCGTCAGACTCTTTAACAATATTTACAACAGCGGGGAGTTTCCTGAAGACTGGCTAGAGTCAACTTTTGTTGCCATACCGAAAAAACCAAAAGCAAAGTCTTGTGATCAACATCGGATGATAAGTCTAATTAACCATATTTCGAAGGCATACACCAAGGTTATTTACAACAGAATAAGCAAAAAATGCGAGGATAACATTGGAGATTCCCAGTTTGGGTTTCGGAATTCTCTTGGGACAAGAGAAGCACTTTTTAGTCTACAGGTACTCATCCAGCGCTGCAGAGATATGAACAAAGACGTGTACATATGCTTTATAGACTACGCAAAAGCATTCGATAACGTAAAGCACGAAAAGATAATTGAAGTTCTCCATAAGATCGGAGTCGACTACAGAGACATTCGAACAATAGCGAGTCTCTATTGGGGTCAAACAGCTAAAGTGAAAGTAGGATCTACATTGACCAATAAAATTCAGATCAAGAAAGGGGTACGACAGGGCTGTATCTTGTCTCCTATTCTCTTTAATATATACTCAGAAGAAGTATTTAAGACAGCGCTGGAGGAAAGCACAGAAGGCATAAAGATAAATGGAGAAATAATTAATAACATAAGGTATGCTGATGACACTGTGATTCTAGCAAGTAGCATGGAGGAACTGAGTTGCCTAATGAGTAAGATACAAAAAAGAAGTGCACAATACGGACTCAGACTAAATATCACAAAAACCAAATGGATTGTAGTAAGCAAAGCCCAACAACCACCACAGCAACTGATATTAGACAACGAAAGAATTGAACACGTGGATTCGTACATCTACTTGGGAACAACAGTTAACTCAAATTGGGATCAAGCGAAGGAAATACGTATCAGAGTAGAAAAGGCAAGAGCATCGTCCACTAGCATGAAGCAAATTTTCACCTCAAAAAGCCTCACCCTACCTCTCAAAATTCGACTTCTGAAATGTTATGTATTCCCGCTTTTGTTATATCGAATGGAGGCGTGGAAAATGACCACAACATTGATGAAAAATGTAGAGGCCTTCGAAATGTGGGTTTACCAACGTATATTACGTATATCCTGGACTGAGCACGTGACCAACGAAGAGGTACTACGCCGGATAGGTAAAGAGAGAGAGGTAGGAATAATTATAAAGAAAAGAAAGTTGGAATACTTGGGTCACGTTATCAGACATAATAAATATAGAGTACTACAGCTGATCGTTCAAGGGAAAATAGACAGCAGAAGGGGTCCAGGGAGGAGAAGACACTCGTGGCTTTAAAACTTACGGCAATGGTTCGGATTGTCGTCTGCTGAACTATTCAGATCTGTCGTAAACAAAGTCAGAATAGCCATGTTGATTGCCAACGTTCGGAACGGACAAAGCACATGAAGAAGAAGAAGTGGGCCTGCTATTTTTTGTGCTGTGTAGAACGAGATGTGCCTTTCCTGACTTAATTTCTGATATTGTTGAAATAATTTCTTCTGGGGTAAACTCGTCAGAGTATTCAGATGTAGGCGGGCATGCAGATTTTGGTATTTTTAGTTCTTGTTTGACTTTGGTGATGTGATTACGATCTCTAGGTGCCCTTGAGGTTGCTACAATGGGGGAGGCTACTCTGAGGGGAGCTATTGGTACTTTACCTCTAGTTGAGAGTGTGCTACTACCAAGTTTTCTAAGTAAACACCATGCTTTTCTGTTTGATTTACTAATGTCTAATTTTTCCACAATTTCCATTCATTTTTGTCGTCTGGCTGCATCCAAACTGTGCAGTAATTCGTCCGCAATTTCTCGGTCTTGGCTTTCGTTGTATTCTTGATACAATTTCTCACATTTTTCATCCCATCCTGGGACATACTATTTACGATATCCTCTGGGTACAGTTGTCTTTGCTGTAGGAAATTAAAGGTAAAAATACGTTTATTGACGTTTCAATTTCCACTTCGGAAATCGTTCCCAAAATAAAAACATTATTAAATGTAGTATACAAACATTAGTAAATTTACTAATATTTGTATTTTGAGAACGATTTCCGAAGTGGAAATTGAAACGTAAATAAACGTATTTTTACCTTTAATTGTAGCTTATTCCCATGTAAATAGTAATTACTTTAAAATGCCTTAAGAATATAGCTTCAGAACAATATGGTTTTAATCCTTTCCACATAAGTTGTTTGATGTTAACTGTACTTTGTAACGCGTATAAGAACTTTGAGCTATATATAACGTTCATAGTTAGTTTACAGTATGTTTTCTAATAAAATAATTACATTTTATACTCTAAAAGAGTTGAGTTGTGATGACATAATGTTTACTATATATTTTGTGTTTCAGCTTCAACTTTCTGAAGTAATTATGAGAGCAAGACAGTATATGACCGAGATTGTTGGAGGTGAAGGTAACGTTTTGTGTCATCACATGAAGTATGAAGATTTGGAGGCAAAATTCGAAAAAATTCAGGATAAAGAATCTTTACGAAAATTTCTGAAGCAAGTTACATACGATAAACAAGGGTAAGTTACTTTTTAAAAATAATTAACTATTTTATTATACGCAAAAGTGACACGATCTGATCAATATATTAGAAAGATGATTATCTGTTTTTCATATAACCATTATAAAATATAAAGTATTTTTAAGTAAGCGATTGTAAGAAAGATATTCCGACAGAAAATTATACCTTTTTGAACGACTAAGAAGTAGATTTGTATACCGAAATTCACATTCAGATGACAACGTTACAGAGATAGGCATGTACTTTCTATATGTCAAAAATCACTACAATGAGGTTTTTAATCGTAGGTTATGGGCCGGCTCTAATAAAAGAATTATAATTTAGGAAATTATGTGTAAGGAATGTAAAATGGAAAAATATTGTACTTTTGTGATCATTTTTCTGTTGGTATTTTAAAAATAGAAAGTTATATTTCGGGAATCTGGTCTTTTCGGTTTTATACCTTGTCTTCAAAATTGTTTGCAATTCGTGCAAATGAAATAATTATTTGTATAATCACTTTTTGAACTGTTTGTCAAACAGTAAGAATGAAAAAAGTGTATCAACAAAAGTTTCTACTATAACTGGACTCTCTGACCGTGAAGCGACGTCTTATTTCGTGTTTCTAGTCCAGATTTGCCTACTACTTTTCGATCTCTTCTTTTCCCTACTTTGCAATTTAAGTCCCCTAAAATAATATTTACTTCATCTTATTTAGTTTCTTTCAGTGTTTTGTCTAATTCATTATACTATATATTTCTTCCTCTGTGCTATCAGATTTTGGTGTGTATACTGTAATGATGTTTATATTGCACGGCATGGTGTTTAATTTCATAATTGCAATTTTGTTCGTTATCGGTATAAAGCCTGTGGCTGATCTTTCTTTGTTGACAATAGCTACCCCATTGCGATTTTGTGGGGTTTTATCTCTAGAGTTATAAAACACAAAGTGTCTATTACACTTCTGACCTATCCTCGTGGTTTATGCCTCTCCTGTCGAATCTCAGATTCCGATTGCCTTGATCATTGTTGTTCTCATCTATTGCTGTGATTGCCATGATGTCCTTTCACGAATGTCGATATTTCGAATCGTGTCTTCCAAACCAATCCCTAGCATTTCCCTCTCCATCGCTCTTTCTGAAGATTCATTTTAAGACCTATTTTATTTGACTGCTGATTTAATTCAGCAGAAATATTCAACATCTTGAGACTCATAAGTCAAGGAAAAATAGAGGGTAGGAGAAGCGTAGGAAGAAGACGCTAGTTGAAGAACCTGAGAGAGTGGTTTGGTTACAGCTCAAGGCAATTGTTCAGAGCAGCTGCCTCGAAGGTCAGAATATCTATAATGATTACCAACCTTCGTCGCGGAGATGGCACCTAAAGGAGAGGCTGATTTAATTCCTCGAGCATTTGCTCCAGTTCCTTGATATCTGTACTCAATAATACTATGTTTTAGACCCCGTCGAGCTGGTAAAAATGCTAAGGTAAAAAGCTTTGGTGAAGTAGTATCACCTTGTCTAATACCTTTACCAAGACGCATTTTTTCAGTTTTTTCGTCTTCATTGATTTTGATGTGGAATGTGGCCTGTTAATAAATATTTTTAATAAGTGTAGTGTACCGTGAGTATATTTGAGCATCCCTCAGGGCTGACAAAAAGGACCAAGTTTCAATACTATCCAAAGTCTTATGAAAGTCAATAAATGTTATATGTCGAAGTACATTATATTCTGTGGTTTTTCTACCAGTGTTCTGATGGTTTGTAAGTGATCGTTAGTACCAAACCCTTTTCTAAACCTCACCTATTCAACTGGTTGATATAAATCAAGTTTTTGTGTTATGCGGTTGGTTATTATCCTTGTTAGCAATTTGTATAAGTGTGACAACGAACTTGATAAACGGATTGTTTCATCAGGTTTTTTCTCCTCGTGATTTACTATGGTGCCACTAACAAGAAAATTGTACTGCTATGATTTTTCTGGAGGATATTCTTGAGTTAAAATTGATATCGGGTAATCGAATGATCTATCTTACAATAAAGTCATCCCAGAAATGCAACTTAAATGTGTGAATGAGTCAGATGAAATTAAATTATTTTTTTTACAAAATTTGCTTACTTTGTTAATGTTTTCCGAAGTGGAAATATTTTTTTTATTGTGTTAATGCCTCGACAACTAATGGTCATTGGCATGGTACAGTCAGGTACCTAGTGTAGTGTGTATGTGTAGAGTAATTGTCTTGATACTTAGCAAAGTCGACGTCATTGTCTTTGCTAAGAGACGCTAATTGTATCCGAACGTCTGCGGTCCCTCCGGTGAGTACCGATCGCACAAGGATATAAATTATTTTCATTCATTAATTTTTAATAAACGAAAATTTCTCCACCCAGATGAAATTCGAACTCACGACCCTTAGGTTTAAAGGTAGGCGCTCTTACCACTGAGCCACAGAGGGTGTTCGAAGTGGAAATTAAAACGTCAAAATAAACTTATTTTAAAGTAAAATTGTGGCTTATACCCAGTAAAAATATTATCTTGAATTGTACCCAAGTGTATTTTGGACCTTTTGTCCAAATCCTCAAAACTGTGACAGCTTCTGGATAATGATATCCTATCCCTGTTTTGGGTTAAAACTTGTCGTACATTTTTTTGAAAATTATTAGTGGCCTTTTATGTTTTATTGTTTTCCAAATGGATGTGTGTCTAGATAACATTTTTAATTCAATTTCATTTTTGGGTAATCATCGAAACATTAGCTGTAGATAAAGTTGCAAATCATAATCTTAATGTCTTATGATTGTAACTTAATATAAAGTGGATTGTAGAAATAATTTGACGTTCATTAATGAGAATTATCCCAACATGTTTTTATGTGCTTTGTGATAACTAGATCAGAGGTGAAATTTGGGTATATTTTAGAGAAACTTTTTCTCAAAATTGATGCGGCTAACATTATGTGACTATTAATCATCCGATGAAATGACATTGAGGGCGATATAAATAAAATACAAACTGTGTCATTAATAGGCCAACTATTTCATTTTTTGCCAAAACTTGCAGGTATATTATCGTATTTTAAGCACATATATGCAACATCTCTCTGTATTGTAACTCATGTTACATTGCCAAGGAATATTAATAGCCCAAAAACCAGCATCTGTGTAGGAACAGGTTGTAACTTTGACCCTTAGAATTTAAGGTATCATTGGAATCGTTTTAAATACATACAGCAAAATATCGGTAAACAGCAACCTTGATCTTTCGAATAAGTTTAAACATACATAAACCTCGTGAAGGAAATAATCTTGAAAACTATTGTCAGTCAATGTAACGTAACGACTTATAAATAGATATTTTATTTTTATTGGTACACCTAAAGTACAGTGCATAAGAATCTACTTTAACAATTGTTATATTGAGGTATCAAGTAATTTTGGCAAACCCAACATGATTTATTCTACGCTATCATAATCGGTTCACAATTTGTCGACAGCTCACTACAAGTTTAACCCTAATTAGAGAACTGAAGTACAGAGAGGATAGGTAATACGATATAATAGTAAAAAACCAACCTGAAGCTGACGGTTTAAGATGTTTTCAACTAACCCACCTTATACCTGAAGGAATACAATACAGCAATCAACCTTATAATCCGATTACGAAGGTATTTTGGTTACAGATGACCGACCAGTGTCGTAGAGTATATGATTGAAACATTTATTTGAACTAAATACATATATTTTTTACATTGTACTTATGTAAAATGTACTTTTGTTTTAATAAAACTTCTTTTTTTATTCAAAAATAAAAAGTTTCTTGCCATTTGTAAAAGATACATTTACTTAATTAAGGGTAAAGGCGCCAAATGTCGTCTGGCAAAATTTTCAATGTGTTTTAAATGTATCCATTATTTTCGAATCCGGAGAAAACTAATAAATATTTTTGAAAAATTTAAACGCAGAATGAAAGATTACATTATTACTGAGGGCAGAAAGTGCCTGAAAACTTCTACAATGTTTATTTTAGTATGTTATGTAACAGGGGTGAAAGTAAAAGAGAAAATATAGTATAATTTTTAATTGAAAATATTGCATGCAAAAGAAACTTTTTATTATTCTAATAAATATTTCATTCAGCCTTTAAATTTTTCAAAAATGCTTTTTAGTTTTCTCTTTACGATCTGAAAAAAATTGATACATTTAAAACACATTAAACATTTTGACAGGCTACATTTTGCACCTTTCTCCTTTAATACCTCACAATTACAACTACTATTAGTTACCTTATATAATTACGATTAGAAATCTATTCAAATTCAAAATAAATAGGATCAACTTCGAAATCCGAGTCGTCTTGAGGGTTAATAATTAGTGGTTGTGTCTCTACGGTCGCATCAATTATGTTACCAAGATCCCACACATTTTTTGTTCTTTTATTACATGTCTACTGCATCTTTCCAGTTTTGTTCTGTTATATGTTGTAAAGACTCGTATAACAATTCACGTACAGCTTGTATTTTATATGACGTATTTTTTCTAGCCACATAACTTTTCATTTGTGCCCAGATGAGTTCAATTGGATTTATTTCGCCGTGGTAGTGTGGAAGTCTAAGGACTGTGATGTTTCGCCTTTCCGCCATTTTGTCATCTACGTATTTCTTGAACTTAGATTTGTGTTGCCGGGGAATTTTTTAAAGTTCTGCTTCTACCATTCCATCTTCGTAAGGCAGGTACTTATTCCGCAGCCAGTCAAGAATATCCTGTTTCTTCCACGCAGTCGTTGGAAGTCTTTCTACTAGTCGTGAATGATAAGGTGAATTATCTAATACTATAAGTGAATTTCAATCATCTGCTCAAAATACTCTTCGAAAACATCAGCTGTCATCTCCTCGTGATAGTCTTTTGTGCTTTTGGACTGAAATTCCAACAAACTATGATTAACAAATCCTTTTTCACTGCCAATGTGAGAAATTATTAATCTACCAGAAGGTGGGGAGATACCAGTAGACCAACTTTCCATAAA